TGAGTGTGTGTATGTGGGTGCATGTTACAGCCTAGGAGTTACAGGGCAATGCCACAACATTTTCTTAAAAAAAAAAAAAAAAAAAAAGGCCGGCGCTGCAGCTCACTAGGCTAATCCTCCGCCTGCGGCGCCAACACCCCGGGTTCTAGTCCCGGTCGGGGCACCGATTCTGTTCCGGTCGCTCTTCTTCCTTTCCAGCTCTCTGCTGTGGCCTGGGAGTGCAATGGAGGATGGCCCAAGTGCTTGGGCCCTGCACCCGCATGGGAGACCAGGAGGAAGCACCTGGCTCCTGGCTTCGGATCAGTGCAGTGCGCCGGCCGTAGCGGCCATTAGAGGGTGAACCAACGGAAAGGAAGACCTTTCTCTCTGTCTCTCTCTCCCTCACTGCCTAACTCTGCCTGTCCAAAAAAACAAAACAAAACAAACAAACAAAAAAAAACCACAACTCTTCAGGGAGTATTCTCAGGGAAACTGGAATTTTGGGGATGGAACCCATCCATACCCCTTCATTTTCCTGGGTATTACTAAATTCACAGCTCCCCAAGTGATACCAATGTGCGGCCAAACACTGAGAACCACTATTTTTAACCAAGAGCCATATTAAAGATCCTTTAACAGGTTAATCACAAAAACTGAACTAAATCTTAACTATGTAGTTTCTCTTTTTTTTTTTTTTTTAAAGATTTATTTGAAAGTCGGAGTTACACAGAGAGAAGGAGACACAGAGACAGACGGAGAGAGAGAGAGAAAGAGAGAGAGAGGCCTTCCATCCGCTGGTTCACTCCCCAGTTGGCTGCAACGGCTGCAGCTGTGCCAATCCAAAGTCAAGAGCCAAGAGCCTCCTCCGGGTCTCCTAAGAGGGTGCAGGAGCCAAAGAACTTGGGCCATCTTTGACTGCTTTCCCAGGCCACAACAGAAAGCTGGATTGGAAGTGGAGCTGGGTCTCGAACCAGTGCCCATATGGGATGCTGGCACTGCAGTCAGCGGCTTTACCCGCTATGCCACAGTGCCGGCCCCCCTATGTAGTTTCAATTGGTTCAACTATCTTATGATGTATGTCTCACTAGTGTTTCTCAAAGTACACTAGCTTCCCAGTACTATTTAAACAAAGTTGACAAATACTACTAGGTTTAAGTTATCAGCCTCTTGTCAGCTTCTCATTATACACACTAGATTCTCCAAGAAAGGAAATAGACCCAGCTTCCTCTGTATTATCAAAGGACATTCCTCCTTCTTTAATGATCACCTTCTTCCACTTTATGCCTGGCACTTAATGGAACATACCCACTTTAAGAAACAGAGCTTTTAAACAAATTTGGAGGACTGGTTAAAACATTTGCTTGCAATCAAATGTTACACTAACTGAACTGAGTTCTAATGAATGAGCTTAGAAATATTCTGTCATGATTTTGCCCATCCTGTTTAAGTAGGAAATAAATGGTTGTTCAATCTACAGACACCTGAAATCTTTTCTAGGGAAGAACATGTTTTTTATTTTTATTTGCCCAAGTCAACCATCAGAAGACCCAGACCAGACACACTGATACCTAACATATCCAGTCAGGGCTTTTTTATTTCATTATTTTTAAAGATTTATTTGAAACACAAAGTGAGACGGGAAGGAGAGAGGGAGGGAGGGGAAGAGAGAGGGAGGGAGAGAGAGGGAGGGAGGGGGAGAGAGAGAGAGGGAGGGAGGGAGGGAGGGAGAGGGAGGGAGGGAGAGAAGGAGAGAGGGAGGGGGAGGAGAGAAGGAGGGGGAAGAGAGAGGGAGAGAGAGGGAGAGAGAGATCATGAGATAGCTCTTCCATCTACTGGTTCACTCTCCAAATGGCTGGAAAGGCCAGGTCTGGGCCAGGCTGAAGTAAGGAATCTGGAACTCCATACTGGTCTCCCACATGACTGGCAGGGTCCCAAGTATTTGGGCCATCATGAGCTAGCTTCCCAGGCATATTAGCAGGGAGCTAGATCGCAAGTGGAGTCGTCAGAACTGGAACCAGCACTCTGATAATGGGATGCCAGCCTCACAAGCAGTGGTTTAACCTGTTGTACTTTTTACAACAGTACCGATGAGTGCTGGAATTTGGTTATTTCTTTAGATCATATTTGAAAGAACAGGCTCTTCCCCATTCTGCCCTCCCCTACCAAAAGAGATGTAAGAATCAAGGAAGGGGCTGGCATCCCACATGGGTGCTGGTTTGAGTCCCGGCTGCTCTACTTCTGATCCAGCTCTCTACTGTGCCCTAGGAAAGTACTAGAAGATGGCCCAAGTCCTTGGGCCTCTGCACGCACATGGGAGATCCGGAAGAAGCTCCTGGCTCCTGGCTTCAGAACAGCTCAGCTCCAGCTGTTGCAGCCATTTGGGGAGTGATCCAGCGAGTGGAAGACTTCTCTCTCTGTCTCTGCCTCTCTGTAACTTTCAAGAAAGTAAATAAAGCTTAAAAAAAAAATCATGGAAAAGAACAATTGTCAGCCGGCGCCGCGGCTCACTAGGCTAATCTTCCACCTAGCAGTGCCGGCACACCGGGTTCTAGTCCTGGTCAGGGCGCCAGATTCTGTCCCAGTTGCTCCTCTTCCAAGCCAGCTCTCTGCTGTGGCCCGGGAGTGCAGTGGAGGATGGCCCAAGTGCTTGGGCCCTGCACCCCATGGGAGACCAGGAGAAGCACCTGGCTCCTGCCTTTGGATCAGCACGGTGCGCCAGCCGCAGCGCGCCAGCCGTGGCGGCCATTGGAGGGTGAACCAATGGCAAAGGAAGACCTTTCTCTCTGTCTCTCTTTCTCACTATCCACTCTGCCTGTCCAAAAAAAAAAAAAAAAAAAAAAAAAGAATAATTGTCACCTGCTACAAGAGTGGCTCTAAAATGTTCATTTTCTGGGGAGAAGTCTTTCAAACAGTAGTGATAGCTGTGATCCTCAATTGAAAAACTGTAGATTATACAAATTTGAGGGTACTAAATGTATCTTTCATTTATGAAGATAGTGAGTTACAGAGAAACCTTTCACATTTTTATTTTAATGCTATTATTTTATATGTCACAGAGCTCAATACAATGTCTCTTTTCTAAATGACAATAATTTCAACTGAATTTTCTTCAAAGTAGGATAGTTTCCCCTTTCCTAGGTACACAAAAATGAATTAAGTTCAATACAAAACTGGTTCTTGCAAAAAAATTCAGTGTCATTTAATTAAGACCATAAAGTCATCAAGAAACTGGAAACTAGGGTTATTTATTAGCAAATTTCATGGATTTTAAATCTGAATACAGCAAAATAAATCAGCCTGAATATAGTAAGGATTCTTTCTTTATACTGAAAAAGCAGATGGGGCTGGTGTTGTGGCACAGTGGAATAAGCTGTTGTCTGGAGTGCTGGGATCCCATATGGGCACTGGTTTGAGTTCTGGCTGCTCTGCTTCTGATGCAGCTCTCTGCTAATGTGCCTGGAAAGGCAGCAGAGGATGGCCCAAGTCCTTGGGCTCCTGTGCTCACATGGGAGACCAGAAGGAAGCTCCAGGCTCCTGGCTTCCGCCTGGTACAGCCCCAGCCATTGTGGCCATTTGGGAAGTGAACCAGCAGATGGAAGATTTGTCATAACTCTTTCAAATAAATCTTTTTTAAAAAAAGTAGAAAAAAAAGAGTAACTGAAAGAAATATTTTGCTTGCGTTAGGGCAAGAGTATGACTTCTACCAGTTGCTATGGCCAAAAGGCAAGAAGTAACAAAATCTACTCCTAGAAGGAAGGAAAACCGTTTTCTTTTCAAAATGCTCTCTGTTTAAACAAAAATTCTAAGCAGTAAGTGTAGCAATAAATAGAAGGCGAATGTTTAAAGAACTCTCTCTCCAGAAAGGTAATACTATCAATCATTTTTATAAAGGGTCAAGAGTGATACATTTTAAGCCAGCATTCTGTATTTATACAGCACCCTCACTCAGTGAAACAGATGGAATCTGTGCTACTTATTATATACAAGGACATCAGGGAGGATACAATTAAATTCTCATGCAACAAAAACACAAGTTTTATCAAGAAAGACTTTCTGTACATTTTCAGAATGTACATCTAAATTATCAAGGGCTTCCTACCCATCATACAGCTGGAAATGATGTTTTTATCTACTAGCTTATAAAAGGTATAATGCTTGTTTTTCAAAAAGCATTTTAAGCATGTAAATTTATTCTAATTAAGAAATTGTTTGCCTGAGTCGAAAGACCCAGTCATCCTATTGCTATGACATCCTTTGCCAGTTTGATAAATTGCAAACTAGATCACTTCTCTTGAAAAAGCAAAATTACCAGCACATTGCCTTTCCACGCAGGTTTAGACAGAAAAAAGGCATGTTTCTTAGGTAGCGTCACAGCAACAGCACACACAACACAAATGGCAAATTCTGCATAAAGGAAAAGGACTACAATTCCAGCACAGGGTTCAAATTACATGACTGTGGTCTAGTGGTTTGGTTAGAGGGGGGCAGCAATAACTTTGGGAAAGTTCATTTGCAAGGTAGATTTCCAACAGCTGCTATGCAGCAAGATCTGAAAACTAAAGAAAAACTCCAATTACCAAGTGCAGATTAATTGAGGTATTTCAGAGTGTTAAACCTTTTTCAGAATAAACACTCTTTAAGAATGAGTCCAAGATATGAAATAACTTATATGTATGAATTTATATAAACTAAGAAACCAAGTGCTAGACTCTCAAACAATGTCAAACAAAATAAATCATATCCAGTATTAAATGAGTTAAATAATCTTTATGGCCAATATTCCATTTAATGTTCTCTCATTTTTAATCTTTATAATTTCCAAAAGTATGAATTTATAATTTATTCTCCTTACAGCACTTTCCTTCATCCTAAATATTTATTGCATTGACTTTAAAACATAATTTTACGGTAATGTGATTTCAATATTACTTTATTACTTATATATAGAAAAAGAATTTTACATTTAACTCTTTTGACACTAATTCTACTTATGTCAAAAACAAAAAGCAAAATAAACTTACCTTTAGGGAATCAACTAAATCATCAACTAAGAAGAGGCGCCTGAGTTCTTTTATTGTGCAATTCACATGACCAAGAGCAGAATTACTGTATTTCTGAACCAACTCCTCAGATATAGCAACATCAGATTCCAAATATGCCCTAGAAAAAATTGTTACTGATTAGAGCAATTTTTCTCCCTAAAAGTCAATCAATGATTATGAGGGGGGCTTCAAAAGGTCCATGGATAAATGGAATTAAAAGATAATACATGTTTCCCATGAACTGGTTGAAGCCCCTCATATATTTACAAAACAGATGAATAAAACCTTCTATGATAAAAGTCGATTGTTTCCAAATTAAAGACAATATAAAAATTCAGCAAGTAAGAACTATTTCACTGATACACACCGTTGGCTGGCTTGCATAGAAAAAGCTTTTGCTTTGAAGCCAGACTGGTCTGACTTTAAATTTCAAACTCAGCTACTGGTTATCTAGTTGTGTAACTCTGCAAAGTTATTTGGTCTTATTTCCAGACCTCAGTTTGCTCATTTATGAAACAGAGATTATCATAAAGATTCAGTAGCTAAAGTGCTTAAAGCCAATGGGCACCAAAACAATCCACTTGATGAACAATAATTAAAGGTTTTGATCAAGTTTTCTTCCCATCCAACTACTACACAGGCCTGACTTTGGTTAGCTTCCAAGATCAGACAAGATCAGCATGTTCAGAGTTGTATTACCAGAGACTTACAAACTTTTCCTACCCAAGATCCTATTCATTTCCGAATCCTACATTCTGTCAGCCTAATCTTCAAGAAAAACTGTTCCACTGTCAAGTACCAAATTATACAATTACTATCAAAACTACAGTGGCAATCCCTATAAAACATAGTATTTACTGTCCATCTAAATGCCCTACTCTATACTGAGATGGCTGGATTTAGTAAATTTAAGAATATACAACTGTAAAAATGTCAAATTAGCAGGGATCTAAAAAACTTTTATTATAGTTGCTGTTTCAAAGAAGCCATTTTATCTTGCTAGTGTAAAACACCACGTACTTCTCTTCCACCTGTTGGAAGTGTTCTATACCCAGTCCCTCAGCCCCCTTTCCCATGTCTGCACACCAGTTACTCAATAATAGAATGATAATACTTTTAGGCAACTCCTTGTCCCCTAATTCTGCCATAGCGATTTGCACCAAATATGTCTCCTTGTTTTTATTCATGGTGCCATCACTCTAAGTGCTTATTACATACAAATTGGAATACTTTTTCACTCTCCAAATAGGCTGCATCCTATTCTATCAACCATTGACAGATTAGCCTTATTTGAGCTACCATGGATAGTGCAATGTACTTATGCTGAACTCAGAGGGAGGTAAAGACCTGGTACCAAACGTTAACTACCTTGGCTCTGAGGGGTCCAATTCTGTAGATGAGAGAAACACTTTCCAACATAATTTTAAGTTCAAACATTCTGTGATTTGGCAGTTCTAACTTTCCAGAGTCTTCCTAAATCTTTTAACCTTAATTCCTATTACTCCCTGCTGCAGCCTGAAATGAGCCATTCACTAAACATTTTTCAATCTCAATGCTTTTGTTCCTCATACAGTCATCACAATCCATAGTGCTCTCCCTCTCACCTCTGGTGGTAGCTTATCTAGTCAGTTAGCCTCATCCCAAATCGTACCCTACATGGAACCTCATGTGATACTCAAGATGCCTTAAGACACTAATGTAATCTCTCACTCCTATATACATTAAGCAACACTTTCTTTTATATTATTATTGAAGAATTTACCATATCCAGCCCTGAAATAGAAATATATATACGTGTATGTTTTTTCCTCCTATAGTATAACCTGTTATGGGCCAGGAATATACTAGTATAATGGTCTAAACCACTACTAGACAACTGTTATTTATTAGTTTTAAAAAAAAGGTAAGGAGACAGGCACTAGTTTAAGTCCCGGCTGCTCCACTTCCAATCCAGCTTCCTGCTAATGAGCGTGGGAAAGCAGAAGATGCCCCAAGTGTTTGTCTCACATATGGGTGCAGGGATCCAAAGAAGCTCCTGGCTTTGGATAGATCATTGCAGACATTTGGATGGAAGATTTCTATGTCTCTGTCTCTGTCTGTAACTGCATAAATAAAGCTTTGGAGGGGTACCTTCTATTCCCATCCTTTAATTTATGTAGAAAAAACAGAACTACTAAAAGGCTCTCATTATCCTTTTTTTTTTTCTTCTTCTTTATTTGACAAATAGAGTTAGACAGTGAGAGAGATAGAGAAAGGTCTTCCTTCCAAATGGTTCATTCCCCAAATGGCTGCCATGGCCGGCACTGCGCTGATCCGAAGCCAGGAGCCAGGTGCCTCCTCCTGGTCTCCCACGCAGGTGCAGGGGCCCAAGCACTTGGGCCATCCTCCACTGCCTCCCTGGGCCACAGCAGAGAGCTAGACTAGAAGAGGAGCAGCCGGGACTAGAACCTGGTGCCCATAAGGGATGCTGGTGCCGCAGGCGGAGGATTAACCAAGTAAGTCACGGCGCCAGTCCCGACTCTCATTATCCTTTAAAACAGCATTTATACAGCATTGAAAAATTTAGAAGTGGATAAAATAACCTTGGTTGGTATTCTGCTGCCTTACATCACTCCTGTTGGTTCTTTTAAAGATGTCTGACCAGAAGGCAGAGACAGCACACAATGACATCTTAATTCAACTGGCATTTTTATGTTACTAATACAATGCCAGCACTGTCCATCACTCTTTCCCAGTAATGAATAAGAATGGTAGGACTGCATCTTTCCTAGTGTGATTGGTCAACTAGGAAAACCGTCCAACAGGTTTAAATTGGTATGTTGGCTGAATTTATTTTATAATGACTGTAAAAGCCCTTTGAACTAAGAATAAAGTATGTTTGTAAGATGGAAACAAAGAATAAAGAAACTACTAGTCTTTCAAAAATTTTCTTTAAAATCAAATGACATTAAAATTTGTTGTAAATAATTTAAAAGTTTTGAATTGACAATATTTTTACATATTTCAATATAATGAATTTTAAAAATAACACTAATGACTTATGGTAGATACCGCAGAAATTTCAAATTCCTGAATTCCAAATTAGTTTCCCCATTCTGAAAATGGAGTAATACTACCTTTCTCTCATTGTTATCATGAAAATTAAATATTTACATAAAAGGACAGACACAAAGCAGCCATTCAACACCAGTCTCTCTCCCAAAGTTATGTAACATCACTACTTCATCACTAAGAGAAAGCTAGAGAAAACCAAATTATTTCGACAATCACAATAATTACGTAGGTCTTTTTTTTTTAATTTGAAAATCAATTTATCTTTAAATATCAACTGGATAATGGTTTAGGAAGGTACATACTTTTTTATGATAAACAGGTATTTGCTCTGCCAAAGTGGTTTTTAAATGCTCACAAATAACTTGAGGAAAAAATGTTGTGCATAAACAAAATCAGTTAGAAAACAGTTCAAAGTCACTGTGCAGTTCAGAAGGAATTCTTGGCCAGCGCTGTGGCTCAGTAGGTTAATCCTCTGCCAGCAGCACTGGCATCCCACATGAGCACCACTTCTAGTCCCAGCTGCTCCTCTTCAAGTCCAGCTCTCTGTGTGGCTTGGGAGAGTGGTCAAAGATGGCCCAGACACTTGGGCCCCTGCACCTGCATGGGAGACCTGGAGGGGGCTCCTGGCTCCGGATGGGTGCAGCTACAGCCACTGTGGCCATTTGGGGAGTAAACCAGCAGATGGAGGACCTTTCTCTCTGTCCTCCCTCTTACTGACTGTAGCTTTATCTCTCAAATAAATAAAATATTTTAAAAAGAAGAAGGAATTCTCAGAGTATTTTTGGCCAGTTGTTAAGGAAGCCTTTTTCAAAGAGCTGGGTCTTGAATGAAACACAGAACCAAATTAAAAGTACAACATGTTGGGGCATCAGGGGCTATAAGGAAGATAGCACACAAATGAGCACTAAATCATAGGAGTAAATAAGAAATAAGACAAATATTTGGATTTCATGCTGTGATAAACAGAAAATCCCCTTGCCTAAAAGTAAGATAAAAGCAGTATCTGAGAAAAAAGAATCTGACATCTGTAAGATCTGAAATAATCTGATGTAACCTCAAATCAATCTGTCAACAAGTAGAGACCAACCAGGGATAGGCAAATATTTACTTTAAATATTTTAGCCCCAGAAATCCATGTGGTCTCTTTCACAACTACTAAATTCTGTCATAATATGAACCAGCTAAATAGCTGTATGCCAATAAAACTTTATTTAAATACAAAACCAAGTAGCAGACTGGATTTGGCCATAGCTATAAGTTCATGGGTTCCTAGTCCAGAATGAGGAAGCAGTGGAAAACGACTAAATATAGTGAACATCTTTATATGAAATGAAAGCAAGGTAACATGGAAGAAAGAAGCTTGAAAACTAGGACAAGGGGTATGTTACTAGTAGAAATTAATAAATTTGAGAAAAAAGATCATGATGAGTTAGTGGTTAAAAGTAGCTGGACAGGGAGTAACTGACTGTTAGTAAGTATGGAGGTTTTCTTGGTGTGATGATAATTTTCTGGAATTAGATGGTGATGGTTGTAGAATCCTATGAATATACTACAAACCACTGATTTTTATAGCATGTGAATATATCTTTATTTAAAAGAAAAAGGGGAAACATGGCATGTGAACTGGAGGCAGAAAACTCAGGCTGAGGTATGTCACAATAGCAACTAGATATTTAATGCTGGAGTATACTTGTGAAAACAAAGGCAAAAGATAATAGTTGAGAGCTGTACTAAAATAAAGCTCTACAGAAGAAAATAGAAAAAGTAACACCTTAGGAAATAAGAAGGAACTAGATAAAGAAAATAGTAAGACAAAGTCAGGAAGGGAAAGCATAACAGGAAAACATTACTAATGAAAAGATAGTTAACAACTAACAGTATTTCATTTTAGGGAGCATAAAAAGTAAGCAATAAAGAAAATATATCCCCTTACAAATCATAAAATATTATTAAACATTAAACTCAAATTAGGTAAGAAATACCTATTTCTAATATATCAATATTCCATAATAAGAAAAAGATGTAAACTACAGTATATAAACAGCATCTTTTTCTGACACGAACTTCTGGTATGACCTTTGGAAAAGTAGACAATTTTTGTATAGCTTTTTAGCAAATATTTGCAATTATCTTTAAACAATAAAGAAAATGAAGTCTCAATACTAATCCTGTTTACACTGTTGCCAATGTGTGCCTTGTTTTTCAAACATCTCACCTGAATGGATGGCCTTCATCTGATTTCTGGATAGCTTGGATCACACCCTTATATATTCTAAAGCTGATAGTCACAGAGAGGAGAGCCAAGGCAATGTAGGCCGTTACACTCACAATGCTGAATACTGTCAATGAAAGCAGCAAGAATAAGCTGGCACCAAACACCACTCCAGTCTTCTTAATGTCTCTCCAGTAGAGGAGGTCAACAACTAAAAATTGAAAAAGAAGAAATCTGAAATTAGGACATTTCACTCATTTGTATTCAGCACATCTATAAAAAGGCCACTAGATAAATTAAAACCCAAGCCTAAAATATTGAAAAAGCACTAACTTCATGAGCTATGTTTAAACACACTCTTTTATATATTAATACAATACCTGTGTCTATTTTTATTTTTTACCATCAACTGTTTTTCATTCAAATTATTCCCTGCATATCTGAGTCCCTCTGGCTGTGCTGTCTTGCTAAATGCCTCAAGCAGGCAGACCTGTAATCCAAAACAAAAGGCTACTTTAAATCATCTGGTGCATTTTCTTCATCAAATGGATGTCATATATTCAAGTAGTAGGAAAAATACATATACATTTATTAAAAATGTATATATTAACTATTTCAATGCCATAAAGACATCATTATTTTAAAAAATGCTAAAAATTAAAACTTTGACAACTACACACAAAAGCTTTGTAGTTCTGCTCTCAAGATCTCTGAGAAACTAAAAAATTTAAGTTAAGTCATCATTAACAGAAAAATGCCTACCAAACATAAGACAGAGGTAGTTACCTGAAAAGCTACTACTTCCCTAGAAGAGTGGATAGTCATGTCAAAAAAGTTTAGGAGTCAAAGAAAAGAGAAAAGCTATATGTATTACACTGTTATATAATGTTTATTAATAGTAAGGATTCAGACAAAGCCAAACTTAGCAAGTCTACTCTTGGTTTGTGGTCACAGGGCCACCAAGGGAATCAAATAACAACAGGCCTCTGGTGTCAAGATCAGATTATACTCAATCCAAAGGGACCTCTACAGTATACCAAAGAGCTCTTGAATTCATAAGTTAGGAATAATTCATCTCTCTGAACCGTGAACATTTGGGAGAAACAAAAAACTTTATAGTATAGTAACAACAAGGATACTTTGAAAAGTTTGTGGAAAAATGGAATTAGAACTATTTATTGGCCGGCGCCGCGGCTCACTAGGCTAATCCTCCGCCTAGCGGCGCCGGCACACCGGGTTCTAGTCCCGGTCGGGGTGCCGGATTCTGTCCCGGTTGCCCCTCTTCCAGGCCAGCTCTCTGCTGTGGCCCGGGAGTGCAGTGGAGGATGGCCCAGGTGCTTGGGCCCTGCACCCCATGGGAGACCAGGAAAAAGCACCTGGCTCCTGCCATCGGATCAGCGCGGTGCGCCGGCCGCAGCGCGCCAGCCGCGGCGGCCATTGGAGGGTGAACCAACGGCAAAGGAAGACCTTTCTCTCTGTCTCTCTCTCTCTCTCTGTCCACTCTGCCTGTCAAAAAAAGAAAAAAAGAAAGAAAAAAAAACTATTTATTTTGGTGCAAAAATTTTCAAATAGCTTTTCATAATATGCATTTCCAAATTTTTGAAGACTCCTTCATTTGGATATGCTCTTAACTAGAACCTCAAATACCAGTTAACTTTTAAGATAAAGGGGAAATATCAAAGAAAAATCCCATTTTTACAGGCTATTTTGGTTTTGAGCCTTAGTTTTTCTAAAGTATATTTACCACTTTACTGTAAGGGATACTTCTGTGGGGGAAAACAATGTATGTGAATGTACAAAGTTAGGTGTTACTACAAAACCCTTAATTCCCATTAGTGTACATCATGAGTACTAAAGAAGGTATTTTAAATACTCATCACTGTGGCACATGGCAGAGATTCAACAAAATATATTACATTCTCCTAAATATAATTTGGTTTGAAAGCTGTCAATTTACATAGCTTTATTTTCAAATTCAACTATTCAATCTTTCCCAACTTTATGTTGTCAAACCTGCTAAAAAAAACCTAAAACACAGAAAGTTTTACACAGAAAGTTTCTACTATCGTACCAATACATTGTCAAAATGGCATTATAAATGCCATATTAAATAGACCACAACAGCAATGCTAACAGTTGTCTGACATTCAGTATACACTGAGGCGATACTCTTCATGAAACTTAATTTGGTAGAATGAATTAGAAAACCTGAAAATGGGGGGAAATGCATTTTTCTTGAAAGGTTTATCCAACTCTAAAACACTATTTTTGTGTTAAGTCAATGAAGGTTAAAAAAAAAAAAAGACTATTTCACTGTCATAAGACCCAGGGATGGGAAAAATTGGAAGAAAGTTTAAACAGACTTTACGAAATAAACATTGAGCTGATTCTGAAGAATGAAAACAATCTAAAGGTGCAGAACTAATTATGTTTGTATGTTAGGATTGGTTCTGATATCTTTTACTAACAGGATTCAGTGACAGGGTAGGAAGTAATGATAAAGTCAGCCCAAATTCTTGCCCATGAGGCTCCTCAAGAGTCCAGATAAACTCAGGTTCTAGGGTGGAATCACACGGATGTAAACAAGGGCTCCATTACTTACTAGTTATGTGGCATCAAGGAAGTCACTAAACCTTTCTACACTACAATCCTTCATCTTTATAAGATGTGTATTTAAACAGGAAAGATCTCATTGCAACGTTGGGATTCATTAACTGAGATCTGAATTAAGAGTTTTCATTATTAATATAAAGCATTTAATATAGTACATAGCATTTAAGAAATTCTGAATGTCAGGTCTGCTATTTGTTATTAATAGCTTCACAGTCACTATCAATTTGCTTATCTGGGTTTTTAAAAGCAACTATAAAGAAAAAAATTCAACTTTATGATTAATCTATAACTTAATCAACTGCACTATCACATTGTTACATTATAGACACATTACTCTGTAAACCACATTAGAAAAGGATTTAAAATTTATCCAAGTTTTCACTATCATAGGGTAAATGAAAGCTGACAGCCTAAAATAATCAGCAGGTAAAGTACAACTCAAATCTATTTTGGTATGTACAAATGCTCCTATACATTAACAATTTCTGGTTCTCAAAGTGCTCAAAACACTTATTAATCTTCAAAATCACTATTGGTACTAAGTTAATAAATACATATGTACTCACAATTCTTTCCTTCATTAAAAATCACTCAGTAAAACCTGATTATGAAATCATTGAGTTTAACTTGAGAGATATATATTGTATAATATAGATTACTGTCTTCATTGAATTATCTTATGTAATAGTTACTGTCCAAACAGGTTAAACACATTTTTTTTTAAAGATTTATTTATTTACTTGAAAGCCAGAGCTACAAAGAGAGAGAAGAGGAGAGAGAGAGAGAGAGAGAGAAAGAGAGAGAGAGAGAGAGAGGTCCTATATCCGCTGGTTCACTCCCCAATTGGCCACAACGGCTGCAGCTGCGCCGATACATAGCCGGGAGTCAGGAGCTTCCTCCCAGGTCTCCCACACTGGTGCAGGGGCCCAAGGATTTGGGCCATCCTCTCCTGCTTTCCCAGGCCACAGCAGAGAGCTAGATTAGAAGTGGAGTAGCTGGGACTCGAACCAGTGCCCATATGGAATGCCGGTACTGCAGGCGGCAGCTTCACCCGCTACACTACAGCCCTGGTTTAACACATAATTAAGAATTATTTTAATCTTTGATTTATATGTAAATAATGTAGAGGAGAGAAAAAAATCAGGACTGAGAGTCAAAAGAACTTTTTTTTTTTTTTGGACAGGCAGAGTGGACAGTGAGAGAGAGAGAGACAGAGAGAAAGGTCTTCCTTTGCCATTGGTTCACCCTCCAATGGCTGCTGCGGCTGGCGCGCTGCGGCCGGCACACTGCGCCAATCCAAAGGCAGGAGCCAGGTGCTTCTCCTGGTCTCCCAGAACTACATCTTAGTACTAGCGCTTAAACTATGTAACTATGGATGAGATTCCAACCTCTCTGCATGTCTGTTTAACCATCAATAAAGGACATTAGTCACCTAATCTCTCTTTCCTTGAAGAAACTAACAATTCATAGTTAATAGAAAGATACACATCAGTTCTGCATTCACTGTTCCCAATCAGTGGATCCCAATCAATGAGATCTTCCTACTGGAACTATTTAACTATTCAAGTTAAATATTCTTTTCTTTTTTAGATCCAAATTGCTGGAGGAGAAGGAGGACTAAATATTTTTATTCATACCAGTCTTTTGAATTGAACTTTGAAACAAACATTTTTTTCAGAGGCAGACATTATTAAAACTTTAGGAAAACAATAAGCCCATATTCCTACAGTTTTTCAAGCAATTATAAATTCTCATTATGGTAACTGTATGAGAGGAGCTAAAGAAAAATCTGAAAAGCTACACACTTTTTAAGTCTCGTACGATACTTTAGAAATGTTTTTCCAGGTTGCTGATCTACATTTTCCAATCTTAACACATCATTTTAATTCTGGAGTTAACATTTATTGGGCACTTAATTAAGTCAAACACTGCTTATAGCTTATATAACATTATCTCTCTTAGTCATTAAAACCCAGTGAGAGGAATGCTTTCAGATCAGCAATACCAGTATCTCACATGACTGAACCCAGATCACGTAATTAGTAAGTGGCAGAACCCAGATGTGAACTCAGACCACCTGTTGGTAAAACTCATTTTCTCCATGTATAATGGCAAATTGAAGGCTCAGCACATTAAAGTTCTTCAAAATTCTAAATATTTGCATACATGAGTAGGGAGAATGGACATGTGAAATGAATCAACCAAGAAGAAAATGTCTTTAAATGCAATTAACAAAGTAGGCTAATAAGGGACACAAATTCTAATGTGAACACTTGACCTGCAGTTAGATAAAGAAATGAGAAGAACACTACTCCAGTATATTGACAGGTACTTTTCCCACAGCAGAAAGCTATAATTAATCTTAAATTTTGAAAATGTTTTAGAAACCATGTGATTTTGATTAAATAAAATTGGGATAATCTGTACAAAGGACTTAAATAGCCATAAAGAAAATTATATATACCTATACAATCACAGAAACATGTCCATAATGATAAACAAAAACAAAATGTTATAAGACTCATAATACCAAACACATCTGTGATGTGTCTAAGGCTATCCATTAAAAAGTGATTTTTATTATAGATAAGTTCTACT